TGTGGACACAGAAATCAATTTTTCCCAATCAGATTGGATCTTCCATATGTGGTCCTAAAGCCAACACATTTAAGATCACTGACCATGCAACCACTGTGAAAATAGTCACATCAGGTTTTATGTTTTTTCCCCATACATCCTTAGTTTTTCCATGTCATACTTCACTGTGCAGGAGCAGATCATTTACAATACAATGTTGAAATGGTCCGTTGAAACAACAGAGCTCTGTAGTAGCTGTACTGCTGCTGCAGTAGTTCTGTCCCAGTCGCCATCTTGCCTACATGACATGACAGCATTGCTGTGAGGCGCCAAAAGAGATATCCTAAAGTCTTGGTGAAACAGTTCTTCCTCTGAACTCTCCACATCGCGGCTCCACCACTCTGGACTCCTCTTCTGGCTGCACCCACATCTCTGTCTTGACAGAACTACCAGCAATAGCTTCCAACAGAGAAAAATAAAACGCTCATTGCTATGAAGGGCCATTTCTTCATAACTACCTTCCTACTATGGCAGTCATTTGAGAGATGAAGATTGAACTGTTATTCATTTTTTTTGCTACTTGCCTCTTTTTGTTGTTGATTTAACATGCATGTGTAACGTTACTGGTTGCATGTGAGGTGTTTCAGGGCAGAGATCCGCTTACACTTATGTCGTATATTGGTCACTTCAAACATGAATGTGAACATTCAAGGCAGAAAGATTTGATCTGGGGAAATAATTGAAACTGAGCAGAAAAAAACAGTGGCACCAATAATTTTATGTAGCTCCCCTTAAATTTCTCTCAACTTTATTGGTAGCTCATGTCTCTTTCAGGGAAGCTTTATAATTCAAACCCTGGTTTTGGATTGTATAGTAGACTGATGATGAAAATGCTAATGCTACGTACAACAAAATGCTCAGACCTAAGTTTAGTCTTTACCACAAAACAGGAAAAGAATAGCCATTCATGTTTCACTACCACCCCTATATAATAAATAAAATACTGTGTGACTTTATTGTTCACTGTAGTAGACACTCTTCAACCATAACACCTGACTCATCTGTCGGAAAATGTTACAAATGTTAAAACATTGAATACCAGTTGTAAATTTAAAAAGACAGTGAAGACATAACACTAGTCTGTGCAACCAAAGAAGCATCCCTGATACGCAGAGAGCAGGGTTAAATCTATAAAATAATAGTGGTAATAAAAAATGTCAAGAAAATAACATTTTCAGACTAAAATTCCAATTACAGAATAAATGACTTTTTTGTAAGTCTGAATCATCTTGGGTGTCAGATGTAGTTTGTGGAGTTGCTATTTCCTCTCACTTCATTATACAGTCTGACATCATGTTCATGTTTGCTGTTCTCTGGGAGGGGTTGTTACTTTGCCCTCAACAGTCAGTTGCAAGTGACATATCCTGCTCACCATCGTCATATTCAGGAGACATGAAAGCTGCGGTACAACAATCACACAGTTACAAATAATTTCATCCATGCTTGACTCAATTTTTGTGGTTTTCTATCTGTATTTTTCTGGCTCTGGCACAAGACGATGACTCCTCCGTTCTTAATCTCATCTGCAAAACTCTTATTGGCTCAGCTGTTTTTCCATCCAGAAAAAAACTGCCATCAATGAGCTAAACACCTGAGCTTTCAGAATTACTGGGGAAAAAAGTAGTGGACAAAAGGTATTTGTAAAGCCAAACAAATAGAATCCAGGATTAGGCAACCTTAGCTATAGTTCACTGGTGCCAATTGAAACAAGGCCCCACCCTCCCAATGGTCCCTTAACATGCAAAGAGATCAAGCGTATATGAAAGTTGTGGCTTGACATACATTTACAAGAGTGAAACTCCTACGTCTCGCTGCAAAAAAAAAAGGCAGCAAGAGATGACGGTGGGCAGCAGCTCTGTTCTCTCTCGGCCTGGCAGCTTTCTGTGCAGCCTCTCTGGTCACACATGTCTGCTGATGGCTTTTTTCCTGCTGAATGTGTGTGCAAGGTTGCCAACTTCCACTAGTACAAATGTAGAACAGTCACAAATGCATAATACCGTGTTGTTTTGTTGAGGCATGTTTTATTTAGTAATTTAAAAGTAAGTTCTTTAAAACTTTGATGCGTAGCCTAATTTATAGATCTGTTATGGCCAAAATTTAGGCTAAAAGATGCACTCATTAAAAATTCTGAAGATTTGGGATTAGAATCTCATTATATAATGACGGGTGTGTGGGTGTGTGTGTCTGTGTGTCTGTTCCACGTTTTTCTCCTCACTGACTTGGTCAATCCATGTGAAATTTGGCACAGTGGGAGAGGGTCATGGGAGGATGCAAATGAAGCAATATTACATCAGTTGGTCAAAGGGGGGCGCTATAGCAACCGATTGAAATTGCAAACTTTGAATGGGCATATCTCATGCCCTGTATGTCGTAGAGACATGAAACTTTGCACAGAGATGGCTCTCCTCATGAGGAACAAATTTGCCTCAAGAACCCATAACTTCCGGTTATATAGATTTTCCGCCATTTTGAATTTTTTGAAAAACACTTAAAATCGATCTCTTCCTAGGAAGTTTGATCGATCTGCATGAAACTCGGTGAACATAATCTAGGGACCATTATCTAAAGTTCCCTCTTGGCAAAAGTTGAAAAACTTACTAAAACTGAACTTCTATAAGGCAATGAATATTGCGGAGGGCGTGGCTCATCACATAAAGGTGTATAACATCTCAAGGGTTTCACCGATCACCACACAACTTTGTAGGCATATGACCACACATAATCTGAGGGGACCCCTCCATTATTGACCCCATCAAACAAAATGGGGGCGCTAGAGAGCTAATTTCTTATCTAGGCCTAACCGCCATATAGATGTTTCCTAACTTGGTAGATATGTAGAACAGGACGCCTCAAGGTGACTGGAGAAATTTAACTCTAATTGGCAACTGGGTAGCACTATAGCAACAGAAAAATGCTTAAAAATGGCTAAAATGCGACCGATCGCGGTGGCTCCCTCTGTGGCCGAATGTTGGGGTTTTTTTTTTCTATTTTTTGGTATGACTAAGTCATGGTAGGGTATGCTGCTGCAACAAGGGCTAGCCGCACCTTTCCCATGTGAACTACCAGTGCGCCCCACTTTTAAGTCAATACAACATATAAACACTTTAACTATCTGCCTTTCAACATTCTACCTCAACTACTAATGTACAGTTTTAGCCCACTAACTATCCCACTATTGGCAATGGTACTACTGTACGTTCAATAAAGCAGTCGTACTATCAAATTCACAAAAACTCTGTCTGAATACATTGTTCTTCTTAATGGGTTCAGTTGACTATTTAATCTGCAATTTCCTATGACCTGTATCCCAAACACACACCATGTGAAACTGTACGTGGGCAACTGTGCACTCAATGGGTATGGACTAGTAGTGTATTAACTTCTAATGCCACCTTTTGGTATTTCGTTTTATTGCTTTACTCATGTGCCACAATCATGAAGTATTTTTTATTCAAAATATCTTTATTTTGTCACAGTGGCACTTCTCACCTGCCATACATGCCAGCTCTTCAGCTCATTCAGGAATTTTCCCATCACCTTGTCACCACACCTACATGTCAGCCTATTGTCTGTCCACACATTTCCAGCTCCTGCCGGTCCACCACAGCCACCTCACCAGGCTAACACCACTCACCTGTAGATCATTACCCCCTGTCACTATAAAGACACCTGCCTCACAGACACTTCTTGCCTTTGTCATTTATGCAAGACTTTCCAGTGTTTTTTCTGGACTGCTTCCTTGGTATCGACCCTGCCCGTCCCTGACTCTCCTGCTTCCTATGCTCCCCGGTAAACCACTCTGCCTCAAAACTCTGCTTCTGCCCTCCTGGTTCCTGTTTGCCTGTTTCCTGTCGCTTTCTGAAAAGAACGTCACGCAGCTTTCCAAAGTGAGTTTAACGGTTCAGTCACCTGTGATCTTCTCTCGCCTTTGAGTGTGTGCCACAGATTCCATGTTTCATTGCTGCTGTCAAGCTCTCCCCTGCCCACGGCCGGCTTCGCATCAGAGAGACTGCTTTTTAACAAATTTGTTATGAATCTGGGGGCTTTCCCAAGCAAATATTTATATATGTGATAGCTTGCGATTAAATCAGCATATACAGTATAAATTTCTGTCACCCCTTAAAGTCTCTGTGCAAGTGCCACCCTCTTGATGAACAATCACCATAAGATGGCAATCCTGCAGGGGCCCCACATTAGCTCTTGAAACAGGCCCCAAGATGCTTAAATCCACCTCCCTGGTAGGATCCAATTTAACAATGTAGTAAAAGTGAAGGGGGAAAAAAAACACAAAATCTGGTTTTAAAATTCCAGTTGCAGTGGTAATAATTTAGTTTTTGTCATTTATTCAAATCGTTTTGGTTATGCGTCTTAGAAGACCCTTGAATATTTTAACTAAAAAAAGAGAAGCGTACTGTCAAAGTGAAGTGGTCAGCCACTGTGGAGAAACTTGAGTTTGTTCGCCTCTTCACCTCGGTCAGCAGCTGCTCTTTAGCGATCACTTTAAGTCACTCATTTTCCTGTTATATCAATCATAATCCCCATGACCTGGGACAATTTAAAATAGGATTACACCCTAACACACCAAACACACACACACACACCTACACACACATTATGTGAAGACACTGGTATGGTTTTGTAGGTTATGCACTTCATGACCGGTCAGACGACTAATGTGCCTGTATTCCTTAAACATGACAGAAGAAGTTGAGGCGGCTTAACATCAATCAACACACTGTTTCTGTGTGTGTGTGTGTGTGTGTGTGACTGCTGTCCATGTGCACAAGTTGCGTAAGCTTATTAGCAGCACCACTGGTCAGAGGAGGAGATTGAGGTTAGTCTAAGCCCTAATCCTTGTGGACCGTATGCTTATTACCCAGCAAGCACGACAAAATCCTGGCTCCGCCCCTCCGAGAAAGACACACACATATACACACACACGCACACACACGTCGCTACAACACACATTTTCCCTGCCTCCTTGTTTACTGCTCGGGTCAATCTGAACTCTTCCTCTCTCCGTCTCTCTGTCTCAGCAGGAGGGCAGACAAGGGGGAGGAGGAGGAGGTGGAGGGGGAGGAAGAGGAGGAGGTGGTGCGCACTGCTGAGTAGTTTCCCAGTCGTCATGACGACCTCACACCCCACCATCTCCAGAGCTGTCTTCCTGTTGCCACGGTGACCTGATCCCGTTCCATCTCCGCTCCTCTTGATGATCCGGATTGGGCTGACAGAGGAGAGCGATCCCGGAACACCGTCCCATTTTCCTGAAGACAGCTTGCGGATGGGACAGTGGATCACACGTAGGGACACGGCTCGGATGACAGGAAGGCGCGGCGTGCTGGGAATGCTGTGGGAGTAACACCGAACCGTTGCCTGGAAACAGCAGCATGCCAATACAACAGATAACTGTGGTTCCGGCCAGGGAGACAGCCAGCAACGGCAAGAGCTCTACTCGCTCTAAAGACAAGACTGAGGTGAGTTTCTGACCTCAAAACTCTGTTCTCGAGCCTCTGACGAGCCAGAGAAAGCTCTGTAGCTTTATGTTCTTATTAGTTTTTGCAGTTACGGCTTAAAACTAGTGTAAAGTTGGTCAAATTACAGAGATTTATGATTCAGGATTTGTGTTATCAAAAGGTAGAAGTCATTTGATTGGTCCTCTTGATGGCTGAGGTTGCATATGTATGCATGTGTCTGTGTGTTTGTGTATGTGTGTGTGTGTGTGTGTGTGTGTGTGTCTGCCTCTAGTTTCAGCTGACAGTCTCTTCAACTCAGTCACTCACACATACAGTACATGCATGCACTCAGCTGCCTTTTATCACTGTTCTCCCACTTGGGGTTTGATGCTTTCCACTGCTATGGAACCTCACATCACGTCCACGTCATGGAACATTATAGACACTCCGTTACACCCCACCCCACCTCACCTCATGTTACGTCACATGCAAAAGGCTATAAAGTGTTTTTCTCACACAGCAGGGAGCTTTCATAGTAGACAGAGATTGGGACTTAAAGCAGGAAGAGAACTGAGGTCATCGTGGTCATACACTAAGTACAGAGTTGAGTTCTAATGGAAACTATATCATTTACAAACTCATGCAGGAGGTTGGATGGTTGTTGCAGAGTTGGTTTGTGGGTTCTTGGTCTCTCAATTCCAGACACAAACGAGAATGTTTTGTTGTTTGTGCACTCATTAAGCTTCACTACAAACCTACTTGTTAAGATGAAAACAGGAACTTAGACAGTCCCTAATGTCTTTTTTGGATTAACTGTAGTATAAAATGGTTCCACTTCCTCAAATTTGGTAAAATATGAAGTGTAATTTTTTTTATTGCCCTACAATGATCACAAGATCTGCATCTAAAAGTACAGACTGTTGGATTACTAGCTTTTTGAAAGACATTGTCATTTGTTACATTACCTGTAACCTCTCTACTGTCAGCGCCACTCCAACCCTATAGAATTAAGAACTTTCAATTAAGGCACATGGATGTCTTTTAGTTTTCAAAAGTATCCAAATGATTTAAAGCAGTAACTCTGAAGCTGAATGAGTCTTTCAGTTGGGACAAGATGGGTATTTTTTTTTACCTAACTTCAACCATATCGTGGGGAACAGACATAATGAGAACACAGGCCATACTAGTTTCTATACATTAATGTACACAGGTAAGAGGAACCAGCCCAAGGAGAGATTTATATTTAGTCGGGACACCTGTTCGCATGTGTAAAGAAACCATTATTTTTAGTGGCAGCTGTCTATGGTCAAAGAGTGAACTAGAACATCAGACCTGAAGTCTGGACTGCAGGCTACATGCCCATTTTTTTCCCATTTCCTTAAAGGGCCAGTGTGTAATATCTGGCATGGTTTATTGTCAATCTGAATCTGAATCTCAATATTCTACCCATTAATATGTTTATACAAGTGTATGATCGCTATAAAATAAAATTCGTCTGGTTTTCGTAGCCTTATAATTATGCTTTTATATATATATATATATAGCAAGGGCCTTGCTTTAGAGAGATCGCCATCTTGCGCCGCCATGTATGTACGACAGACCAAGTGGACAATCCAGCCAGCCAGAGAACGTGTTTCGCGTGTATAAATAAAACAACGAAGACAGCGGAAGGAAGGAAGAAGGAGGAGGAAACAGCAGAGTGTTAGTAGTTCGTCGATAGAGAGTAGTGAAAGTTTTTTTTAGTTATAAAGTTTGCGAATGGACCACACTCACCACGCAACAGGAGAGAATGAACCCGAACCGTCATCTGCGAGGAAAAGAAGACGTAACTTCACTCCTTGTGATGCACTCTCTGCGGCGCTTTTCCTCCTGGTGATATCTCCCCAACGATGGTAGCAGTAGCACCGAATCCCATTCTGTGCATTCAGCCTCTCTTCTCACCCGCTCAGCATCAAACACATGGAGTTCCTCATCTGTATGCTCCAGCTCAAACAGGTATGGCTCTGGGTCTGTGTCCGCTACAAGAAACTCTTCAAAATCGCGTTCAAAGTCGTCCATTGCAGCTACTATAGTCCGGAAATATTGCTAGGCTAAATAAACAGCTGAGCTCTGTTTACCGGCTACGCTGTCAGTCAGTGTGCGGGCTGGAGATTGGTGGAGCAGAGAGGGGAGGGGGGTCCCTACTTAGTATCTTAAACGAGTATGTGTGTAAAGTTATTAAGTGTGTCTGTTACGCCAGAAGAGTCAGAGTTTGGGACGGAGTGGAGTGTTACCGGAGTTTCTGGAGTGCTCAAATAAACGGGCTCATGAGGGATTCATTACAATATCGTAACATGGTTTAGATTTCTAAATAAACATTCACCTCATCGCTAGATAGACCTACTCCTGAAAAACTCGTGCGCAAGGCTTTTTGTCCCTACGAGGCCACCGTCATTTACCCGACAGGAGGGGTGAGCGAGTGAGCCCTGCAATCTAGAATTTGACCACTGATGTCACTGTTTCCAACGGTTTTCAACCCATTTTACACACTGGCCCTTTAATCTGACAGTTGAAAATGAAACAAAACAGAAAATATATGGAGGGTAGGGGATTGTAGCACACAACAGAGACCACCAGCATGAATCAGAAAGAGGATGTGGTCATGTACATTGTTTGCATTTAGACCATTAGGCCATGAGGATGCCCACAAACTGAATGTTTAACAGCAGGTTTTTTGTTACCCTACAGTCCACAACGATCCACTGATAATAACCTAAATAATCCTCACAAATATGTTTTTATTTTGTAGATTTGTTGGGTGAGGATAGGATATTTATAATAATCTTGTTTAAATAATGACACCAGGTCTGTGTGCACACCTTGCTCCTTGTGCAGTGTTAACCATTTGCATGGTAGACTGTTGTCAGCCCAGCAGAAAAATGATAAGCAGAAACACTGAATGAGCTTATTGAATGATGCAGGTCTTGGGTTTGCTCTTATCCAACCCTTCATCCATATAAAAAGGAGCAGTCTATAGGATTTAGTGGCATCTAGCGGTGAGGATTGCTGATTGCAACCAGCTGAAAGTGATTCCTTCAGTGTTCATTGTTCAGGAAGTTTTTACCAGGAGCCGAGTTATCCGCAGAGGTCTCCTCCTCTCCAAAACAAACGGACCAGGTAATTAAAACCAGTAAAACACTGAATAAAGTTACACATTAAAACTGACAACTGACTGGTAAAAATGTTTCTCTGAAGCAGTTTGGCTCGTTGCAGATGGGCCACTAGCCCAGCACCTGCTAACGTGTGCTCACCTTTTTCCTCTGATAATTTAAGATCCAGATGTTGAGAAGGTGTTTACCGGGAGCAGAATTATCCACAGAGGTCTCCTCCTCTCTAAAACAAATACACTCTGTGATTTAAACTGGTAAAAATACTGAATAAAGCAGTTTAATGTTAAAAATCAGTGGGGGTTTTTCAATGCTGGCTAATCGCAGAGAGGCTACCAACTACGACGGCCGAAGTGCAAACACCCTGGACTACTGTAGAAACATAGCGGCGCAACATGGTGGACTCTGTGGACGAGGACCCACTCCCAATGTAGATATGAACGGCTCATTCTAAGGTAACAAAAACACAGCGATTCATATTTTCAGGCAGTTATACACTAAAAGAACATGAATGAAATTGGTTGTTCAAAATAACAAAGCCCCCTAAATCCTACACACTGGACCTTTACAATTTAACATAGTGTAAAGTAGAACGATTTTACTTTAATTTTAAGGATCATCTTCTTAGTTTTAAGTATGAATGCAGCAGATAAAGGAACATCACATCCAGAAACACAAGCGGAAAACATAAATAATGCAACTTTAATTTCACCGGACCTGTAAAATGTTTTAGCCCATTTACCCCAAATCAATGATGCTTAAATCATTTTAGAAACCATGACATATTTTTCTTACTCTTCTAGGAATCAACTGGTTTCCATTCCTATCCATAAGATATCAAAATTACTTAGCGTTACTTTACTTCTGTAATCTGTCACAGTGGCCATCAAGTCTGCACTGATTTTTCTTAAAGTAACATGAGGCCCGTTTCCACTGAAGAAGTTCCTGGTACTATTTGGGGGGCAGGAACTACTACAGGAACGTCCTCTCGCTCGGCCCTCTCAACCGCCGTGTCCCCACTGAGAGAGTGGAGTACGAGGAAGGTTCCTGTAAAGTTACGGGCTCTGGATGTTACGTAATCGTTGCGCGACCATTTACCAGGGCAACGTAGGGACGCCGTTAGCTGTTAGCCGTTTGCGGTGTCTGTAATAACTCAGTCTCACTAAATGGCCCGTGAAAAAAATATTTTTTCCAGCGGAAGTCTTAGTTACAACATGATTGAGCTAACTGGAGTAGTTTCATGTCGTATCCGACAACGACAACGGGAGGCTTTTAACAGATGACGTCCTGATGTTAGCTTTGCTGCTGCTGTTAGCTGATGCTTTCTAGACATCATGACTTCCCATAATGGAATAAATACCACACATATCAACACAAAACTGCTTTGCTAGCTCAATTATGTTGTAACTAAGATATCTGCTGGAAAAAATATTTTTTTCACGGGCCATTTAGTGAGGTTTTTTTTAGATGGCGGCGGAAGCTATATGAACAAGCTAAAAATGCCGGCTATTTTGTTGCTTTTTGTTGTCATCACATCCCTCCTTGAGTATATCCAATCAGCACCACACAAGAAGGAATGGGAATCAATGGCTATCTGGACCTGGAGAAAAAATACATTTGAAAATAGATTGCTAACTTGCAAATGTTTATCTGGACTACACATCAAAGCTGAAAATATAAAAATAAGAATATAGAAAATATAGCTGTATAAGTTATGATAAAAATACACACCTGTGTAAGTCCTGTCTTCCATTAATAGACACATAAGTCTACTGCAAATGTACATTTCAGTATTTTAAATGCTTTGGCCTTTCCTCTTAAAGACTTCTTATTGTGATAAATGATACAATCTTAGATACACACACCAATGTCTGC